CACTGATTACACTGTAAATGATAATCTACCTTAACCAAAATCAAAGTAGACTATCACTCACCCACACCAGATGGAAAACTCTACAGACTGTCGGTTCACATATATATATATATATATATCTGTAGAGTTGTAGAGTTTTCCATCTGGTGTGGGTGAGTGATAGTCTGCTTTGACTTTTGCCACAGGTACCTTGAGGGCAGTGATTGGTGCCCACCGCAGGGTATCAGTTGTCGGGCAGTCGTTGATGCTTAACCACAGCCGGGGTTAAGGTGGATTATCACTCACAGTGTGATCAGTTAGGGGATTCTGCAGACTGTTGAGGGTTCAGCCTCCTGATGAGTCGGCGAAACTCCGACGAAACAGTTTGCCACAGCCCCTCGTTTGTTGTCCTCTGCTCCCTCTCTGCCTACGGTTTACAGGGCAGCTCTGTTTGACTATATATATAGTCAAACAGAGCTGCCCTGTAAACCGTAGGCAGAGAGGGAGCAGAGGACAACAAACGAGAGCTTTGACAACAAACATATATGGGCATACAGAACTGCCCGGTAAACTGTTGCAGAGTGAGAGAAGAGGACAACAAACAAGGGGCTGTGACAAACTGTTTCACCGACTCGTCAGGAGGCTGACCCCTCAACAGACTGTAGAATCCCCTAACTTATTTACACTAACTGAAAAAAAAAGAAGAAAAAGAAAACAAGAAGAAAATTACACTGTAAGACTGTGTAAGTGATAATACTTGATAGCGTAGAGGCACCTCTGAATAGGGCTTTGAGACAGTTGACATATTTCTCACCGAACTCCAACTGTGCCAGAAGGGCAAATAAGGAAAAAGGAAGCTTTCTCAAAACCAAGCAGAAGTACACCCACTGGAATTTCCCTGGAAAGCACGGCCCTACCACCTTCGCCTGAATAGAACGCCCGGTCATTACAGTAGCTATTATTTGGCACAACTTTCGGTCCACATGCAGCGATAATGACCGGGCTTTCTGTTCAGGTGAATACGGTAGCTTGCAAAACTTTCACGAACGGCAAAGCACGACCACATGCCACACGGCTCTGCAGAGCTACAAAGTTGCGACGCGTATCACGAGGTGGCGAGGCCGAGCAGGGCCTCACCTCACCTCACCTCACCTCACCTCACGGAGGTGCGTAAAGCCTGCCCCGCCGATCCTTCTTTTGGAGATCGTGCTTTCGAGGCAAAGACTATCAAAATCCAAAAGGCCAACAGCACGTATGTCGGAACATTAAAGCTTAAGAGACCATTGCGCCTGTGACCGCCGCGGGGTTCCAACTTCGCAGTGGGGAATAACAACTGACTGCAATCTGAACGCAGTGCAGTTCGAAACTGCAAAAAAAACAGGTACCGATAGCGGTACTGGTCCTGCCGGTACCGGTCCTGCCAGTTCAACAATTGAGGGTCAACTGCAATTGAGGTTCGAAAAGAATGTCGGAACAATCAAAGCACCAGTACTTGGCCCAGCTATCGATGCCGATGCCGATGCCGAAAACGGCCTGCGCGCCGTTTCGTGCCGACCCGCCAGCGCAACCAAAACAAATGGTTTTGGCTGGCGGCGCCAGCCGTTCAGGTCGGGTACCCCGGGCCTCGGGAAGTTGCGGGGCGTTAATGACAACGCCCCCCGGCCGATGTATGGGCCAAGTACTGGTGGTTCCAACTTCAAAGCTTAAACTTGGAATTTGAAGCTGAACGTTGAAACTTGCAGCAGGACTTAGGGCATACTTTTTTTTTTTTTTTTTAGGGCATACTCACACTGTTATGATCCTGGTTGTTTGTTGTCAGATGACCAAAACTCACTCACATAGACTTCCAGGTATGCCCATACATACACAGAAGGAAGGGGAGAGGATGGGCGTATCACACCGCACAGGGAGAGATAAACACAGTGGAAGACTTGACCATGCGATATGACAGAAAACACTGAGACTGAAATTCGCTCCACAGAATCCCCACAACCAGTCACAAAAAAAAAAAAAAAAAAAAAGGAAAGCCGAGTAGATCACATCCAGGAAACAATGAAGCAATGATAGTCCTCACACAGTATTTACACTGTTTGTTAAACTCAGAGTCTTGAAATATCAGAATAACCCCAGAGCTGTCCTTCGGGATATCCGTTAAAATTGGAACGATACCGAGAAGATTAGCATGGCCCCTGCGCAAGGATGACACTCATAAATCGAGAAATGGTCCAAGTTATTAAAAAAAAAAAAAAGAAAAAAAAAAAAACAGAACCATGGTGTGCTGCTCAGAAGTGAGCAGCCCTTCACTCCCCAACCCTGAGTAACCCCTATCACTACCCCCTTGTCCCCGACACATCAAGCGCCACCCATATACTGCCTCCAGAGGGAAGCGCCACCCCAAGCGCCTCTCAGAGGATGAAGAAGAAGAGCAGCGCCACAGTATCTGATGATGATGAAGTGCCAGAGGACTTCCCAAGTGGAAGTCTGTAGCAGCGCCACCTCTCCTGACAAAGATGCTCTCTGAGAAAGAAAGCTGCAGCCATGGCTGCAGCGCCAAACACCCTGAAACCCTACTCCTGAGGAGGGTTCAGCAGCGCACCAGCTTCACTTGCCTCCAGCAGACTTCGGATAGCCCAGACCTCTGAACAGCCCCACGTGCTGTCAGAGCACAGCTATGGCCGACACTTCGCAGGTCCGGCTATGTCTGTCTTCTCCAATGCTGAAGCTGTCACCACTCCAGTTCACTCGTTGTACAGCAGCGGCGTTCACGGTACCAACTGCCAAAAAGCCCTGAACCGATTCCTACAAACACAGTGCTCTCACTCTCTCCCTCTCTCTCTCCTCTCCCTCAGCTCACCCTCAGCCTCACGCCTGTCACAACCCTAGCCTAGACCTAGACCGGACTGACTGGACTGACCGGTACCATTTCAGTTTCGGCCTCTAGCGCCTCCCCCTACCCGGCTATAGGCTATAGGCTATAGGACCGGCTATCAGCGTAGGCCTCTAGGGCCTGTCTGTCCTAGGGGTAGCCTGGGCCTGCTATTCCCAGTTAGGGTAGCTGTAGGAAATTCTAGTTAGTGCGGGCCTATATTTTCCCGAATTTGCAGATACGTCCCTCACGAATTTTCCTTACAGGCAGGTCTCTCGGTTAGCCCTCAGCCAAACAAAATCACGAATCTTTTTCCCGAATTTGCAGATATGTCCCTCACGAATTTTCCTTACAGGCAGGTCTCTCGGTTATAGCCCTCAGCCAAACAAAACAACGAATCTAACCTACCTATGTTACAACCTCGGGTCGATGGGTCACCAGCGGCAGAAAAAAACAGCAAGTCGTTGAAAACACTAAGCGCTCAAAATCGCAAAATGGCGAAATCAGCGGCCAGATCAAGTCCTTGTAAAGCAGCCGTCGATCTGACTGCTGATTTTGGGATTTTGCGGTTTTGAGCGCCTATTGTTGTGTGAGTATGCCCTTATTTGTGGACAAAGCCACAATAGGCATCCTTTTTGCCAATCATGAAAATCTGTGCTTTCGCCAGCAAAAAAGTCCCAAATTTCAACACTTGGGCCTTGTCTTTTCCAAGTTTTCCCCCCAAAAAAGTCCCTAATTTGAAATTTCAACAATCTGATGGTGGTTCCAAGACAAAAAAAAAGTCCCAAGTTTCAACGCTCTAATACGCGGTGATGAGTGAGCAAAATGTCCCAAGTTTCAACAGTCTGATACTTAAGAGATGAGTGAACACTGAACAGTGTATCTAATACTTGGAGATGAGTGAAGACTGAACAGTGTGAATCTGTGTGATATCAGTGAATTGAACCTTTTTCCAGGTCACCACATAGTACATACCTGTGAAGAAGCATTCAGCTGGTCGGTCAACCAATCAATCAAGCAATCACGTATACCATTGAGTGGTCTTCCTTCCATAGTTCGGCTCTGGCGGACAATCAATTGTGAATTCTCTTGCAAGTCTCACGTACTCTTTCTCAGCCATCTGACAACCTGTAAACATCAAACCACAAGCCCAAGATGTTAGATTGCTTCTTCTTCTTCTTCTTCTTCTTCTTCTTCTTCTTCTTCTTCTTCTTCTTCTTCTTCTTCTTCTACGTTGTCGTCTTCGTCTTCTTCTTTGTCTTCTTCGTCTTCAAACAACAGGACTTGCTTCCTTTTTTCCATCTTTTTCTTCTTTCTTCTCCTTCTCCTGCTCCTTCTTCTTCTTCTTCTGCTTTATAAAGAACAGGCCTCACTGCTTCTTCTTCTTATTATTATTATTATTATTATTCGTCGTCGCGTTGTGGTCGTGGTCGCCTATGTAGTTGCGGATTTGGGTTTCTGCACACACGCTGAGGACAACTGCTCTACATCCACGGGCTGTTCTTTGTCGATTCCCCAGCGCATACGCCCCTGTAAGCTCCCTGTAGCGCAGTCGCACGGGATATGGAGGGAATCTTCAGTCTGCTCTTGCAGGAGAGGTTACACAATCCATTGTGGCCATGATACAGTTGTCCGAGTTGCTCTGCGACCTGCCGACCCACAAGGACCCAACTTCACCCAAGTAACCGTTCCTGTGTAATCACGTCCGCTAACCGAGCAGATGTTCTGCTGGGCACGCTCAATCCTCACAAGTCTCGCATGCTTTCAAATGTCACTGCCATTTTCCGACCGACTCCCAAAATTGATCACCTCATCAATGAAGAGATGCTGGCTTGGAGCAGGGACGCTGAGCATAGGGCGCTGCCGGGCATGGCGCTCATGGTCGTGGGTTCAAGACCCACACACTCAGGCTCAGGTTGCTTAACCAGGTACTACCTAGGTACGTACTAGGTCGCCACCTGCAGATGAGGCATGCCTGACGCTCCTGCTCTGTTGGTTGAATTCTGGTCAGAACCAGTCTCTCTATCTGACAACCATGCTCGCTTACGATCACGACACCTAATGAGTGTAGGGTTGAGAGTCTTGAGACTCTCGAATCTTGACGTACTACTCAGGAATTAATAATTATACTCCAAATGAGTCCAAAAAAGACTCCAAAAATAATAAATAAGTATTAATATTAATTTAATAACCTCAAGCGGGATTGGGGGGAAAAGAACAAAGAACTTGGTACTCACTAAGCCTTGAACTCTTCCCCCGAATACAACGTACGGTCATTATAGCTGAATTTAGACTGGAAGATACACCAAATTCAGCTATAATGACCGTACGTTGTATTTGGGGGAAGACTGTAGGCATCTAAAGTTTCTAAACCCTAAACCTGAGAGGTTCAACGAATCATCATGACCAAAAATTCTGAAGATAACCGGGGCACTAATCTCTGTTAGAAGAGTCGCCCAGCCCGTGCCGCCCGGACGGGCACGGGAGGTGTGACCCACCAGGGGTACCCGGGCGACACCAACAAGGGGGTCAATTTTTTTTTTTTTTTTTTTTTTTTTTGGCAGTGGTCCAGTGGAGTAATTTTGCGCTCACTGATGCGTGCCCAAATCCGGCCTTGTGTTTGAGTTTGGTGATATCTCACCAAAGGGTGGTGTCTATGGGGTATAAGCGGGGTTCGGAAGGGCTCGAACGGGCTTAAAGGGGCGTAAAGGGGTATGATTACTATGATATAATTGAGTATTTTACTTTTTTTTTTTTTTTCATTTCGGATTCCATACCGAATTTCCTGGTCAGCCTCAGGGAAAAGACGCTTGGTTTGCAATTCTGCACGACATAGTTTTCTTTCAGATTTTTTTGATTTTTTGAAAAAAACAAATTGTGTGCTGGGACTGCCCGTGACCTTGACCGCGACTTTGCCCGGAGCTCGCTCGCCGGGCAACCCGGGCTGTCCGCCTGATGACACAGACAATAACAATATTAATATTAATTTAATAACCCTATGGAAGAAAGTTCAAGAAACAAACTGGCAATTGCATAGTAACGAGTCCTGGGCGCCTCCCTCCGGACATCACGGACCTGACACCGGACCCCCACATTTTGTTCCAGACTGTCTTGAACCCGGTCCGGACGTCCGGCCAGTTACGCAGGGTAATGACTCTGAATTGAACTTGGGGGCTGGGCAAGTCACCTGCGGATATATCTCAAGACCAGTGGCTGCCCCGCGAACGCGAATGGACACGTTCATGCACGGGTGAACGTCAGTTTACCCTCCATCACGTCCGCGAACGCCGTTCATAGCCTCCCGTTCACAGCCGTGAGGGGCCTTCCGGGAGAGGTCCCTTCGATTGGCGGGAGGCGGGATCGGGATCGCTCGGCCCCTCCTCGGCCCCCATGTTTTTCTTTTGGAATCGGAAAAAAAAAAAAAAGGGCCCCGTTATTATTTTTTTGAAAGGAAAAAAAAAACGTCTCCTTGACTTTATTTTTTTTTTGTTTAATCAATCAATCCATTGACTGATTGATTTATTGATTCATTGATTGGTCGCTACCACCTTCACCCGAATAAAATGCACAGTCATTATTGCTGTATCTATCCTCAAAGTTGCCCCAAATACAGCTATAATGACGTAGTCTCTCTCTCTCTCTCTCAGACACACACACACACACACCCTCTCTCTCTCTCTCTCTCTCTCTCTCTCTCTCTCTCTCTCTCTCTCTCTCTCTCTCTCTCTCTCTCTCCCTCTCTTTCTCTTCCCCCTTCAATGCTTTCTCATAAAAGAATAGGTATTGC